TCAGGGGTGCTGAGAGCAATCAGTGGAACAAAAATTAATGGAAAGGCAGGTGCATAAAAATATCAGGTAGGAATTTAAGGGAGTGAAATTTTATATTGATATTTTTCCTTGAAGAACAAGTACACCTTTTAGGTGTCTTGTTCTGTCACCAACAATCCCACACTATTTCTTCCATTCCTTATGCTTTTATTTTGTTCCTCATTTAAAATTCTATATCTACATAAACATTTATATGTATTTATATACACACAGATATACACTGAAAACCTATTTTCTTTCATAACAGGCTGTTCTCAACCAGAAATACAGATGGAAGGAAAGTTAAGAACCAATAAGAGAAAAACTATTTTTTTTAAGAATTTGAACTGAATAGATTCAGATCAGTTCAGAGAATATTCTTTTATGTTGCTTTATAGTCCAGCACTTTTATAAAACATACTGCTTTGTTTCTTCTATATTCTGGTTCATTTCAGCATTATTTAAAAAAAAGAAAAAAAAGATTTGGGGCTGCATGACAGAAAAAAAAAACCTCAGAATCATGCAAGTTAACATAATACACTAATCACATATGAGCAAGTTAAAATGGATGCACTCAGGTCAAGTCATGGCTAATTTCAAGGCTGAGTGACCTGTGCCAGGTGGATATTTGTCTTCAGGAAGTTGTCTGCAGATTTCTAGGGACAAATGAGACTACTGATGCTACTGGAAGCTTCAGATAACAGGGTATTGTCTTGAATGTTTTATACACAATGCAACTAAAGTAAACTGGTATGTGATCATTAAAAAGTCTAAATTGTTTTGCCCCCAAAATTTATATCTTAGAAAATGTAATTTCCTAGAAGCATGCTGTAGAGTGTTAAGAACAAAAACTTTGGACTCATATGACCTAGGTTCACATTCCAGTTCTGTCTTTTACTGCTATGGAAACTTGGGGAAATTTCTGAACCTCTTGTGTTCTCCCGATAGATTGTTCCTCATGAGGTTGTAGTTTAAAGCATGTAGTAAAAGTACCTAGCATGTATAAGGGTTTAGTTAGTATTGGCCATTGAGATGATTGTTTACTTTCCATTGAAAAGCAAAATATTTTACCCAGGTAATCAGAATGGGGATGAGGGGAACCCCCAGCTTGCGTTTGTAATAAGTGAAAAAGACCATGAACCTCACCACCCCCTCAGATGGACTCTGCTGCTCATTTCTGCCTGTCTTTTAATTTGATGGAATTTAAGGAAAGGTAAAAATGGAACTCCTGCTTTCCTTGACTGTCCCGATGGACCAGGAAAGCCCTCATCACAACTGCCTCTTTAAACCACACATAACCCTGGTGTTAATCCATAAAATAGCATCCTAACATATTCTAGAGGTTTAGCCTTGATTGATTATCTTAGAGAAAATTCCTAAACAGTCAAAATTGCCATCCAAATTATTGCTGTCAGCAAGTGTCACAGAGTCTTATTAAACATTACTGAATTGATCCGCAACTTCTCACCAGCGTGAGTTCATGTCTTCTTAGCAGCAGATGCCAAATTAGGAGGAGCCTTGCAAAACACTAATTGGAGAAAATGCCTGTGAGGAAAAAATCTGAAGGGACTCAGAAGTCAGCTGAGAGAGCTGTCAGGCCAAGATGAGGTCTAATTCCCATTGAGAAGAAAAAGAAGCAAGGGCAGTGGAGTGGGAAAAGTTTTAGCAAAGCCACTGAGGAGTCCTCGGGCTCAAATTACGAGTCATAGGAGCCTCACGTCTCCCAGGAAACATCCAGGTTTGATATCCCTGTTGTATTTACCCATTGGCCGTTCACAGCTGGGAGAAGCATGGCCTCCAAGTGGGCACTTCAGTGGGTTTCAGAGTCATCACCTGGATCCACTTGTAATCATGCCCCCTTCTGTGAGCTATGAGAGGATGTCTAATGGTGACCACACACCTGTTGCTGAAACCTCTTTCTCTAACAGTTGTGGCCAACATTTTGGGCCACACTGCAAGAAGAGTTGTCTTGGGCCACACATTAAATGCATTGCAACACAGAATCACAAAGACATCTCCTAATGTTTTAAGTAAATTTACACGTTTGTGTTAGGCTGCATTCTCAGCCATCCTGGGCCACATGTGGCCCACGGGCTGCAAGTTGGGTAGCCCCACTCAATATCTCCTCTGCAATTTGGGAGTTCCACCACCTTCTTTAACTGGGCGCTAGTTTGGCCCCCCTTCATTACCCCTTTCCTTTTATTTCAGCTGATTTCCTGAACACCCCTTGTGTCTTGATTATAGTATAATCAACTCCAAAGGAAACTGTAATGTTTAAATTATTTTTTGTTTGTTTAGGGCTAATTATTAGCCAAACACTACAGATAGAGAATGTAACTGACAATTGCCAGAGCAAGCACAAGATCCAGTTGTTATTAATCTCTGTCCAAGCTGATAAACTTTGGTGGAGGACTAATTATATGAAACTTTATAAACTCAGAAAGGCAGATCAGAAGATCAGAGGGTTCAAATAGAATGTAGATAACAGTCTGCATTAGTAATACAAGGGCAGGCCCCCAAATGGAATTTATTTATTAAAAAATTGTGTAACTTATTCTTACATTTAAACTTCAGTCACCTTCAGAGTACTCTCCATTTAAAGCACTACACCTATTAAGCCTTTTTTTCCACTGCTCATAACAGTTTTTGAACTTACCAATTTTGATGCCTGTTAGTGCTTCTGCCATTTTTTGTTTCATCTCTTCCACATCAGCAAAACATTTCCCTTTGGGGACTTTTTCATTGGGAGGGAAAATGTTGCTCAGAGCAAGATAGGATGAATAGGGAGGGTGAAACAGAAGGTCATGCTGGTTTTGGTCAAAAACTGTGAAAGACTAAGCATGGTGTAGGGAAGTGCACTTGTAAATCACTCATCAAGAAATGGGCAAACACACTGAAAGATACTTTGAAAAAATTCACTGAAGCCAAACTCCACCTCTCACAACAATGCCATCTGGCACACTGAGATGGATGGGTGCCTAGAACACTCCTCTAGTGGGAGAAGCCTGTACTACAAGAGGTCTGCTCTCCAGAAGATAATTCTGGTTTTCTCTGGTGTCCCCCCTCATATGTTTTGTTTATTGATGCTGCTTACATTTGAATGACAAACCAAACATCCACATATGCTGAAGTCTTTGTGAATCTATAAATGATACTCTTTGCCTTTAGATTTGTTTTTGCTTTCATCACATTTATTAATTTAAACAGTGGTGAAAATCACAAAGAATGCTTATGATAAAGTTAATTACAGAACCAACTTTACAAAAGAGCATTAAACTTTAAATCAGTGATGATAATCAATTTACCAAGCTTCTACATTAACATAAGCCGAAGTTTTCTCATTAACGTTTCAGAATGTGTGGATGTGGTGGAATTTTGTAGGAATTTGTAAATGATTTATGAAAAGAGTTTGTAGTCAATCTCTGGCAAAGGAAAAGGAAAACTCAGATCCAATTTCACGGTGCTTTCCTGTCACTTTCATTAATTTCATTTGCTCAAATATGGTAAAGAATCACACTTTTTCCCTATAGTTTCTGAGTTTGCTCAGTGTGCCATAATGAAATGCTGTAGATTGTGTGTCTTAGCACTGTATGCTTACATGGCCTGTTTGTGCACATGAGGAGAGACAGGGAGAGCAAGTTCTTTGGTGTCTTACTCATCCCATCAAGGGACCCCACCCTCATTACCTCCCAAGGGCCCCATCTCCAAATACCACCATGCAGGAGGTTGCGGGGGTGGGGAGGGGGGAACACAGACATTTGGTCCATAGCAGACAGTCTCAGATCTCAGTTTGCAGCAGAGCATAAACTCAGCCTGATCAAATGACAAGTCCTCCCAGGTCAACTGGAAGCAAACTCTTTTCCTTTTGCCATTTCTTTGCAAATTCTATCATGGACTCTCAAGGTCCTTTACAAAGATCAGTATTTCATTCCTTTCTCATTTGTACTGAAAGTTATCTTCTGTGAAATTGGGTTTTCAGACATGCTTCTCAGAGTCATTTGCCACACCAGTGACCTGGCCAGCATGTCTTGGTTACTCCCAGGGCCACCATAACTAAATCGCGATCCTAGAGTGACCAGTTAAACTGTTGCATCATAAAGCAATGGCCCTCATGATACAGCATTGCTGCTGTCCCAGGGCCACCTCACTGCTTCTATAGTGCCGATGTGCATCTCCACTGCTTCTCCCAGGACTCTCTGAGTGACCCAAGTGTCCAGCTCAATCAGTGAAGTTCTACAGCCAAACCTACTTGAGTGCCAAGTATTATAGCTCTTCTTCATCCAGATTGTCTAACACAAGCTATACACACCCATGCACACGCACACACATGCACACACAGAGCCATTTTCCCAACAAGCTGTCTGGGGTGATATCAGCGGGCACGTACCATGCACAACCCAAACTCTCTCTGCCTCGGTATGTGGACAGTAGAGAGTACTAAACACAAATCCAGACTTTCTTCACCTATGGTTAAATTTATCTCAGAGGCATCACTGACTTTCTCTCTCTGCATTGCTTAGATTGGCTTCTCCTGTTTAATTTTATCAATTTCAATACACATAAAGTTTCAGAGAGAAAGGTCAGACTCTGTTACACAGCGTTGGTCTGATGCCATGTTCAGCCAGAAATTCTGGGTATATCCTTCTCCATAATGAAATGGGTACCTGCTTTACATAAGGATACATAGATAAGGATGGGGTTTTACTCTGACAATTTAATAGCAGAAAATTATTATAGCTTATGAACCAAAAAACTAACATGACAGTGCTCCACTGTAACCCTTAGTGCCTTAGAGAAATAGCTTTGCTACTCTGAGTTTCTTTATCTCTGACTCCCACATTCATGCTGTGTTATGAAGTTGAAGAACAACAGAATAAAAATAGAAATATGACATTTCTGCCATAACCAGGTGACTCAGTTGGTTGGAGCATTGTCCTGTATACCAGAAGTCTGCGGGTTTGATCCCTGGTTGGGACACATACCTGGGTTGCGGGTTCAAACCCCAGTCGAGGTGCATCAGGAGGCAGCTGATCAATATTTCTCTTTCTCTCCTTTCCTTTCTCTCTGTAGAGTCAATGGGCATGTCCTCAGGTGAGGATTAAAAAAAACCCTGAAAAACAATCATGACATTTTTAATGTGTGCTTACCATCAATTTGCTTCGATTACCTCCAACTTGAGATGCTGCAAATCTGCAAATCTGACAGTCGGTGGGTCTGACTTTAATGACAACTTTGACTGAACTCAGGAGCTGGGAGGGGTGGAACAGAGAGCAAACTGAAATCTGTTGATGAGGAGGGTGAGGCAGTGCCCCAGAGGAGGCCACCATACCTTTGTCCCTGCCCCATGAGGCTCTGGGAGTCAGACAGACAGGTCTAGTCGGAGAACTGCCCTTTGGTACTTACCACTTAAAATAAAATGTGGCAAGTCCAACCAGGCTCTTGTTATAAAGCCAAATGCTGTATTTATGTCTTTGATTTTATTTCCACCTCCTGAACAGCTGGCATTTCTTTAACACCAATCAGGAGGTTGCTATGAACTTCCCCATTTGAACTCAGTCAATGTTGAATGTATTTTCCAGGTAGTCTAATTTTATCATATAAAACTGGGCTCTGAAATCAAAGCTGGGTTATATCAAGTATCCTGGGAATCTAACATTTGTGCCATGAAGACTTACTCGGGTGTTATTTCCAAACTGCAAGAAAAGTCAAGTTTTCAGGGACTGGAGAAATTACAACTTTGGGAATTCAACAACATATAGGCAGAGCGGCAATAGTCACAGTGGCAAAAATCTGTAGATACCAAGGCATGAAATCCAACTGCTCATCACTCTTGTAAACATTTAGTCTGCCACTCTTGTTATTTGTCTCTGACTATCCTTCTGTCAGGCCACACTAGGAACTGATTTTGTGTTGACATGCCAGTCTTGTTTCCTCAACTGTAGTTTTTTCCCAGGGCAGAAATCGCATCCTCTTATTTAGAATACCCAGCAAATCCTTGGACATGGTAGGAGCTCCATCAGTATTTTATATTCAGTTTTTTAAAAGGATTACTAAACCTGCATTCAAACTTCTTCGCAGAGGCGACTTGGTGTAGAATTGCTAGTCTAGAGTGTCAGCATTTACCTGGGACTTCTCTGGTGATGAAGGGCTGGCAGGTTCTGTGTCTCTGGTCCCAAAGAAGGAACCCAGTGCGCACCTACATCCCTCATCACAGTGCACAGAGGTAACTGAGGAGCATGGGACTAGATGGCTTCCTTTCATTCCTAAAAGGAAGAAGTGTACTGCTTGTAATATGTGTAACTGGGGGGTCTCATGGGGCTCTTACCATATTAGGAAGAGGGTATCACATGGGTAAATGGAGCGACTGCAGAGTCTATTACCTTGAATATACATCCTCTTCAATTTCTAGTTGTATTACTGTGAATATTTAATATTCTCGAATCTTAGTTTCTTGTCTACAAAGTGGAAAAAATGTTTTCTCTTCCTCTGGGTTGTCATGTATATGATCTGATCATAAAATGTTATTTATTCTGGTACTAGCATGAAAACAAACACATAGATCAATGGAACAGAACAGAGAGCCCAGAAATAAACCCAAATCTCCATGGTCAGTTAATATTTGACTGGGCAGAAGGGGCAGAAGCATAAAGTGGAGTAAAAACAGTCTCTTCAACAAATGGTGTTGGGAGATTTGGCCAGCTACATGCAAAGAAATGAAGCTCGACCACTGATTTACACCATATACGAAAATAAACTCAAGATGGATAAAAGACTTAAATGTAAGTTGTGGCACCATAAAAGTCCTAGAGAAAAACATAGGGAGTAAAATCTCAGAATTCCACACAGCAGTATTTTCACTGATATGTCCCCTAGAGCAAAGGACATAAAGGAAAGAATAAACAAATGGGATCTCATCAAAATAAAAAGCTTCTGCATAGCTAAAGAAAACATCAGCAAAAGGAATAGGGAACCAACCATATGGGAAACTATATTTGCAAATGATACCTCGGACAAGGGTTTGATCTCAAAAATATATAAAGAATTCACACAACTCCATTCTAGGAAGACAAACAATCCAATTAAAACAAACACTTCTCCAAGAAAGACATACAGAGAGCCCAGAGACATGTGAAAGGATTCTCAGCATCACTAACCATCAGAGAGATGCAATTAAAACTACAATAAGATAGCACTTCTCACCAGTCAGAATGGTCATCATAACCAAATCAACAAACAACAGGTGCTGGCAAGATTGTGGAGAAAAGGGAACCCTAGTACACTCTTGGTGGGAATGCAGACCAGTGCAGCCACTGTGGAAAACAGTATGGAATTTCCTCAGAAAACTAAAAATGGACCTGCCTTTTGACCTGGCAATTCCACTGCTGGAATTATACCCTAAGAATCCTGACCAATTTAAAAGAACCTATGCACCCTAGTGTTCATAGCTGCATAATTTACAATAGCCAAGTTTTGGAAGCAATTTAAGTGCCCAACAGTAAATGAATGGATCCAAAAACTACGGTATATTTACATAATGGAATACTATGCAGCAGAAAGAAAGAAGGAGCTCCTACCCTTCAAGACAGCATGAATGGATCTGGAGAGCATTATGCTAAGTGAAATAAGCCAGGCGGTGAAAGACAAATATCATATAATCTCACTTACAAGTGGAACCTAATGAACAAAACCAACAAGCAAGCAAAATATAACCAAAGACATTGAAATAAAGAACAAACTGACAATAAACAGAGGGGAGGTAGGAGGAGATAATGGGGAGGAGAGGGGGAAATGTCATCAAGGAACATGTATGAAGGATGCATGGATGACAAAGCCAAAAGGGAGTAGTATTGAGGGTGGGAGGTGGGATGATGGGGTATGTGGGAGTGGTGGTGGGGAAATGGAGACAATTGCACTTGGACAACAATAAAAAAGAGGGAGAGAAAAGATATTAACACTATTTTATCTATAAGAAAATTATCAGTGGTAAGGCACCTGGAATTGTCCATCTGATACAAAGCAGGTTAACTAAGTGTAAATTACATGAGTTGAATAACTTTGTTGAAAATTGTGAAATAAAAGAAACCTCTCTGTTACCAGTTAGCAGTGGGTTAAACATTAAGGCTCAGGTACGGGAGGCACCACCAGTAAACGAGGCAGCATCAGGACCCAGATCCAAACTATCTGATTGCAGCTGGAAATAGCAACAGCATGAAAGCAAATTCCTGCCAGCAAAAGTACAACCGCTTACACTTATTAAGACTTAAGGGTTTTCAGGAACTACTATAAAGGGCACATGGACAAAACCAAGGGGGAGGGTGGAAGCATGGGAGAGAGGTGGGTTTGGCTGGGGTTCGGAGGAGTGGTAGGGGGAAAATGCAGACAAGTATAATTGAATAACAATAAAATAATTTTAAAAAATACTTAAAAGCTCATATTTTATCTTCATGTGAAGGAAAGCGAGAGTTGCAGTGGGGGCAGCTCTAGGAATCGTGCTCCTCAGAAGCATTGAGGAGCCCAGATGACCCTGAGAAAGGAACATGTATTAATACGAAGCTGCAGCAGCTGTGAGCAGCCCCAGGCCTGCTGATGCCCAGGAGCATCCATCCTTCCCTTCTCCAGAGTCAAGCTGGCAGCCACAGCTGCCATTGTTGCTGCAATGAAGCTTGTTCAAGGCTCTCCCCAACTCCCCATCACAGCTCATTTCCATAAAAACAAACACTTCTCCAAGGAAGACATACAGAGGGCCCAGAGATATGTGAAAGGATGCTCAGCATCACTAACCATCAGAGAGATGCAAATTAAAACTAAAATAAGATAGCACTTCTCACCAGTCAGAATGGTCATCATAACCAAATCAACAAACAACAGGTGCTGGCAAGGTTGTGGACAAGATGCATGTCCCTTACCACATGCATCTTTTTTTTTCATGAAGAAAAGTCTAGGGGAATTATTATTTGTAGTGAAACATTCTCTGCATTTACAAGTTTGCACAATTAACAGAATATAATATTAAAATGTACATGCCCAGTGGAATAGCTCAGTTGTGTTGACAAAAGGTAATAGCACAAACAGTTTAGTCCTAACAAGTCTTAGCTTTTTAGTTTAAATGCTATATAATTTAGGCAGTGGAACTACATTAATTTCCCAGGACTGGAAACCTAAAAGTAAGCACAAGACTTCACAGCTTTGTTGGAAGGTGTTTTTCTGCAGATTAAACATATTGCTCAAATGCCTCTACCTTTGATGACAAAAATATTCTTCACAGGTAAATTCATCCTGGGAGTCAAAATGTACATCCCATAAAGCATCCAAAAATCAAGGTTTGTGATTAGCTTTCTCTCCTGCGGTGGCCTTCCTGAGCAGTGAAACTTAGGAGAGTCTTGTTCCTGCCCCAAACCCCATTGCATTTTTCAAGGACTAGCCCAGCTTTTCCCACCGTAGATTCCAAAGATGACTTCTCCATAGCATTTGGGCCTAGGCATACATGTATTCTAGCTCTTCATTTTTTTATTATTCAAGTACTCTCAAAGTACTTTTCTTGCCAAATGAATGTGTGGACAGGTAATATAGAGGATAAAAATGAGACAAAAATTTGTATTCTTAAAGTTAAGGCCTTTGCTATCTAAAAGTCAAGACAGCAGTCTGTTTTGCTGACCATCGTATCTCCAGAAAATAATAGGTTTGGGCACATGGTGAGCCTTCAATGTTTATCAGATGAATGAATGAAGAAGTAAATGAGCCATCATAGTAGGAAATGGCATGTGAAGAAGCTTTCAGCTCCTGTGACCTTGACCGCCCTTATGGTGGATCATAGGTGACACTGTGGGTAAACTATCTTTAATACCCCACACACATCTGGAAAAATCCACAACCCAAAATTTACAACTTTCTTATTTTATGTATTATTTCCATCTTGCACACTATTTCTGAGGTAAAGTTACAAAGAGAGGTTATGTGTATTGAAACATAAAAGTAGTGATACATTAAGAAGAATCTTAATAGACCATGTTCTCTTAAATGCAATCTTCAGCACTCATAGTCTCAGTAAAATCATGGGGGTGAGAAGGTCGTTTTTCCTTCTAGCATGCCCCCGGATAAGCTTTGCTCCGG